CCCCCCCTCCCCCTTGCGTTCTTGCCATCCTCCCCCTCCCTTTTTACCTCTTAATGACAAGATACATAAGACATTTCTAGTTTTGTTATGTTAAGGTTTTTTCGGCATATTCAACACTATACATTAATAAAGATAAAACTCCTAAATGCACCGGCTCACCACCCTCCCCACCTATAAGTGAAAGGCGCAGAAAGAGCGTAGGGACTGGTCATTCACTCATTGGCCCTTTTCACATTATGATAATAATATATACCTCCGACGGTAGCCCCTGTGTCAGTAGTAATTACATGTATTATAAATTATAGTGCTGCATTCCCTAACACCGCTGCAGAATCTAGATGGGCAGAATTAAGTTCAAACTTAAAGAGGATAAATCCGAGATCAAGCTCAAAGAACACACTAATAATGTGATAAAAAGTCATCCCAGCATCCAAACCCAGGCTTTCTAAAAATGAAACACAATTGTTGATATATGAATGTACAGCGATATTTTTTAAAGCAAAATGCAGCAAGTGAAAAAGAAGGCTTATATCAATAGGATGTTGACCCCTACTGTTCATCTATCTTTCTCGGGGTCGTTCTTTCAGTGGACAAGAGATTTTTGTCGGCTAGACTGGACAAGCGATTGAATGCAGACAATGAGTTTTATCTAGTTTCAAGTAAATACATAATATTTATCAAGGTTCAAAAAGGTATTGGCCGATTTGAAGGCGTTCAGAGAGACATTAGGGGCTAACTGGTGTGTTGTCGCACTACAGAGACTCATTTCTTCATCTTTGTTTTCACGCCGGCTTGCAACGTTTATGTAAATCGCCCCCTGTCACGATGTGAAACTTACGCGAGGCCTCACCGAACGTCGCTGGCTCAGCCTCCCCGGCGAATTCATCTTTTGCCCACAGAGCGTAAAGACGACTTTATAATCTAAATGCCAACTGGCCTCTCTGTTACTTACAAAGGAAGGCCACGTCTCCCGTACAGAACACGTACATATAATATTACATATTCATCAGTTACATCTATCGTTCAACCTGTCTCTTATTGCTGTTTGTACATCTATTGTCAGCATATTTCTCATCTTTAATGACTGTCGAATCTAAAGCCACTCTTGGTTCTGTTTGGAGTTCTGTCCGTCGTCTACTTCCCGGAATTACAGTACTTGGCCAAGACTCCATGCCCGCTATGCTGCAGACTGCAGACCGCGCAGTTGGAATATGGAGAGTATTAATTTAACGAGGGGAGAGAAGCGCCTCGATCGGCTGTCGCAGGACCTGGGCCTAAAACAATACACCCCCTTCCTTTCCCTCTCTTCTTTTCCACTTTCACCCCCATTAGACTCTAATTTATATATTAGCATTTGACACAGTGTTCTGAGAACTGAGAAGAGTAATGAAGAGAAGAACATCTGAATAGGATTGGATGTATTGTGTGCTAAATTTGTTCAATGTATGTGTGGATGTGTGTTTAGTGCAGCGCACAGTATCCGATTTTCGACTCCCTCTGCATAGGACAGTCTTTGGAAAGGTATCAGTTGAGATGTGGCTCAAAGACTCTACTTCCGCAGAAACAGTACGGGACGTTTCTGGGCATGTGTCGAGGCGTCTTGAACGACGGATGATAGATCTAGAAGTGGTTGACCTCGGATCACAACGCAGAGACAAGACTGTTACATCTACCACGTTCATCTTTTACCCTAACAGTGTCTGTGAAAGAGCATTTCTAATTGGTGTATGTCCATAAAAAAGATATCTTTTGTCAGGTCAATACACGCTGCAATCAACATGGATATACACCAATTAGAAATGCCCTTTTCATAACACTTTTAGGGTATTCCGAAACGTGGTGAACATCAGCGACGCCCAAGACTCAATTATGATTGATAGACTAACTTCGCCATTTTTCTCAGGGTGTGAGTGCGTGGTTGGGAGGGATGGGCAGGATGTGTGTGTGTGTGTGTGTGTGTGTGTGTGTGTGTGTGTGTGTGTGTGTGTGCGTGTGCGTGTGTGCGTGTGTGTGTGTATTTCGGGGGAGGTGGGTGCTTACAGTCGTTGAAGCTCAGATATTCAGCTGTCAAATGATTATAATATATTTTTGTCCCTTTGTCATAATATTATGCGAGAAGGTCACAGATCAACAGTTCATCTTCCCTGTTGCAGACTTGGTGGGAAAGAAATACGTTTTTAGAAGTGACCGTGCATTTGATTTAGTAAAACAGATACATGACACAAATGGTTTATAGAAATGCTTCAGCACAAGAACATTACTAATTGATATTTTGGGCAATCTCGTGTAACTGACAAATTAAGATTTTACACTGCGAGCGTTTCTTGTACTGAACTTTGCATAAGTTTTGATGTTGTCTTGTTTTCTTGCAGCTTAAAAAAATATACACTTTTTAAAAAAGTCAAATGCACAACATGTGCTCCCTCCTTCTATTTCATTAGCAATTCCAATGATAATGTCCCGTTAGGCAGACCTGTGCCTTTTTGTCCCATTTTTGGGAGAGTACAAGCAGCTTGTTACATTTTTACGTATGAGTTCCGAGCGGCCATGTGCAATTGGACACCTTGAGAGAGAGAGAGAGTACGTTTATCCTTGACACAGCAGCCAGAAAGGAGAGTTGCGAACCTACTATATGCCAAAGTGTGCCAATAACCTTAGTCTCTGGATTCAAGAATTAAACCCAGATGCTCACTGCGCAAACAAAGTATTAACTTGACCAACTTGTCACACATAAGAGACGGCATTAAACACAAAGAACAGAAAATAAACAAATGAAGTCCATGACACCTCTGTAATTCTTTATTTCCACTAAACACATTACAGGCCACTGAAAAAAACCTCTTTCTGTGTCTAAGGCGAACCTATCTGTTGTTACTAATGTACACATTATGTCTTAAAAGAGTTATATAACATTATATTCAAGGGCATGAGCTAGAGTCATCCTTTGTAATACCCGAGACCTAGCTAAGTAAACATTGCAAGGTCTCTGGTAATACTATTGGGAAGCAGTAAAAGAGAAAAAGCTACTATCACTTGTTTTGTAGCTGTTTAGGATGGAGACAAAAATCTTTCAACGGAAAGTTATGAACAGGGCATACAGGTGAATAATCTTATAATTGAACTGGCGGTCATTCTGTGCCCACTTCTTTACATTGCCCCTCACCTGCTATCTATGTTTTGAAAAATAAAATAAACGTATGTCCATTTCTGACATGATCTTCGAAACCCACTCACTACTCCAGACTACCTCACTCTCCATGCCACTAAATGAAATCACCAAACTTCACTCAAATGTGCTTTGCTTATCGTTCATTTAAAAAACAAGCTTCCTCTTCCTCCTCCCCACATTTTTCTGAATTCAGTTGCACATTTCAGTTTGCATTAATACAGCTCATGCTATTCCTCGCTAATGACAACATTCCGTTAAAGTCCGCAGAAAAGCAAAGAAAATGTAATACGTGTACTCGCAGAACAGGTCAGAGCTTTCCCAAACAACTGCCACTTAATTTCTCTTTCTCAAAAGTTGGTGGACGCAGATCGATATAATTCTGATTGGACGTCGCGTTGTTGTATCGACAAGCGACCGTTTATGTCATCTCCTGTTCTGTGTCGACTCGCCTGCGTCTCTCCTGTCACACTCTCATTCCTCAGCATTGGCAGCCTCTGTTGGAAACAAAGCAACGAAAAATCAGGGCAACACTCTCAGAACAAGCCAACCATGGCCCATCCACAGACGCACTGAGATTCTGTAACTCTTGGTAAACAATAGTACCTGTAGTGACGAAGGCCGCCCTGAACCCATGCCATTTCACACGACTAAAGAAGAAGCCAAAAGTGGGTTGTTTAAAAAAATTTCGATTGACATATTTAAAAGGACGAAATGCAGAAAAACAAAATTTACACCATCAAATCATACGCAAAGATACAGTACAGTTTTTCGTGAAAGCCGATACAACAGATCAAGGGATTTTCGCACCTTTGCCGTAATAATTCTCTAAGAATGATATTTCTGACTATTCTTACAGTCTTCTTGATCATAAATGTATCCAATGCTCTCAAACTATCTAACAGGTATGTTTGCACATGCCAAAAGAGTGCAGAGACATTATACGAGTACATAGAGGAGCAACTGCACAATACCTTATTGCAAACTGGTTGGTTCTAAAGGCAAAGTGGCTAGCACACATTTATTAAATTCATACAGCAGAATTTATCTATGCGTTACAGTGATTTATTTCTAGAAAACGTTTATATCTTCTTGAACTGTTTCTGGTCTCTGTACTGAAACAGAGCTCTGCCTACACACGTCTTAGCCCAGCAAGATATCGTCAACTCACCGATTTCCCTGAGTTTGCCAATGGTCATCTTGCGCACCTCGACCAGGCTGACTTGTACGTCGAAGTCCTTCTCCAGTAGTTGCTTTATCTCCACACCCATCAGTGAGTCGAGACCCAGGGAGCCCAGGACAACGGCATCCCCAAGATTATCCATAGTGGTCATGCCTAAGCGGAAGGAGGAAGAGAGGATGTGTTAAAGAGAAAAGTGTGTGTGTGTGTGTGTGTGTGTGTGTGTGTGTGTGTGTGTGTGTGTGTG